TCCTTACTGCTTATGCTAACTGGGTTTCTGTCACTCATAGTCAAGTCTCTCTCCTCTCCCTAACCCCAGTCCCACTGAGGAGTCCTGTCAGTTCCCCCCTCCAACAAAAGATATCCCAAATCCCTCCTTCTATGGATCTCCCCCACAACCAACATTCTTTGGCTAGACTGCTTTACAAGGTCTCATCTAGTCTCATGTCTTCTGGCAACAACTGACTTCACGTGTTAACCTCTCACTCTGACCTCACCCCTACTTAAGAGCCCAGACCAGTGACACCAGTTCCCACTGCAGCCCTCCATTGCTTCCTCACTGCCTCACACATCCTCACCACGGTTTGCTTCTCCACCCACATTTCCCTTCTCAAACACACCAAGGCTGATTCTACCTCTGGACCTTTGTACTAGCTGTTTCCTCTGTCCTGAAGCCTTCTCCTTCAGAGCCACCAAAGGCCCAGGATGTCTTACCCTTCACTTCTCTCCTCAGAGGCCCTCCCTGACTATACCATCGAGAGCAGCCCCACTTGGCATACCTCTAGCATGTTCCATGTTGTGACACTTTTCCTTCCTTCAAGGCACCATTGCTATGCGACAGTATCTCGTTTACTTTTTCACTGTACTCCCACTAGAATGAGAGCCCCACAAGGACAGGTGGCTTGACTCTTGTGTTCACAGCTGCATCCCCAGCACCTAGGACACCTGACATTGGGAAGGCAAACTGCTCACTCTTATTGATTTCACCTTCTCAGTTTCCCTCGGAACCCTGCCTATCACCAGCAATCCTGCCTTAGATTAGGCTCGAGATTCTCCTCTCTAGAAATCCTAAACACCCTGTACCATCAACCAGCCTGCATGATTTTCCAAAGTGGGGCATGTGGACCCCAGGGTGGAGTGGTGGTGAGGATACTTGTGCAGGTGTATACAAAGATCTTGAGGGTTCTGGAGGAAATTTAAAAATGCTGTTTCCATGTGGTTATCTAACAGTCTGAATGATCCAGCATCGATTCCAACTTTGGTCAAGTACTGCCTAGTTCTAGTGCCTGTGTTGGGTGTGTGTTTAGGTTTAGCAAAACGTGTTTTATAGGAAAAGCACATATATGTACATGGTTATGAGTTGCAGCATCCTTTGAAGGAGCAAAAGACTGGACTCTACTCGAAAGTCAAATCAATAGGGAATTGGTGTAAAAATGTTCAGTACATCTATACAGTGGAATACAATTTAGCAGTGAAAAGTAGGAGGAATCTGGTAAGTGCCAATAGGAAACGGACTCCATTAAGTGAAAAATGCAAGGTGCCAAGCAGAGTAGAAAACAAGAGGGGCAGAAAGAATAGATTCACCTGCTCGTATATGCACAAAATATTTCTGGAAGGGTACACAAAGAGCAGCATTGTTTTTTTTCCGTAGGAGAACTAGGTATATAGGAGTGCAGGAGTAGAACAGGGACTTCTCTGGAAATAAATTTTTACCCTCAGAATTTTGAAGCACATAAATATTTCTTCCAAAAATAAATGGAAATATAAAAAGTGGTGTCTGTAACTACCATGTTTATACAGAGGCATCACAAATTGAAATGCCTTTAGAGGCTATGCAGAAAATATGGATGAGAAAAAGTGGCAGGCCTAGGACCCTGGCGAACTGGACAAAGTGCCTGTTTACAAGTTACAAGGTCAAGCGAAGCGTGTGGGATGTACACACGAAGGAACCTGGGATAAGGTGAGGAGCTGAATCTGTATGTGAAATCATCTGATTTTGACACGTTGCTTTAAAAAAGTTGAAAACTTCATTGCTCATATATATCCAGAAACGTATGCCTACGTGCATAGCTCAATTAATATTCACAAAGTGTTGGGGCACCTGGGTGGCTCAGTTGGTTAAGTGTCCAACTCTTGGTTTTGGCTCATGTCATGTAATCAAGCCCTGTGTAGTCTCTGTTCTCCCTCTCCCTCCCTCTCTCTCTCTCTCAAATAAATAAATAAGTCTTTTTTTTTTTTTTTAAGATTTTATTTACTTATTTGACAGACAGAGATCACAAGCAGGCAGAGAGGCAGAGAGAGAGAGAGGAGGAAGCAGGCTCCCCACTGAGCAGAGAGCCCGATGCGGGGCTCGATCCCAGGACCCTGGGATCCTGACCTGAGCCGAAGGCAGAGGCTTTAACCCACTGAGCCACCCAGGCGCCCCTAAATAAGTAAAGTCTTAATAAACATAAAAATAAATAAGAGAGGGACTTGCATGGATAATGAAAGTATACGAAGAACAAAAAGATTTTAAAAGATATTCACAAAGTGAACACAACAGTGCAACTAACATCCAGATCAAGAAACAGAGCATGACCAGGCCCTCGTCACTAGCTCCCTACCCCACCTCCAAAGAGGCACTACTCTCCTGACTTCTAACAGACTAGATTCATCTGTCTGCCTATGGAATCGCACTATGTGTTCTTTTGGATTTGGCATCTTGCTTTCCACACTGTATTTGTGAGATTCACGCACAGTGTTGCGTGTAACTGTAGGTAGTTCTTTGTCATGGCTGAGTCTCCCATTCATTCACCCGCGCTCCTGTTGATGGGCATTTAGGTTGCTGCTGGTGGGGCCTGTGAAAATAGGTCAGCTATGAATACTCTACTTCGCGTCTTCTGGTGAGCAGATGTAAACAATTTTGTTGGGTATATTTCTAGGAATGAATTACTGGGTCATAGAGCACTTGCTGACCTTAAAATATGCTGCCAAGTGGTTTTCCTGTTGACTTCCAGTTGTTCCATATGCTTACATGGGCCAATTAAAAAAATAATCTGGTCCAAAGCAAACATCGTAGGCCACCAGTTTGCCACCTCTGGATCACTACATCTTTAATTGTCATGGGAGAAAGTTCTTTATAAGGTAATTTCAGATCTCAGCCCATCATTCCCTTCTTAAGACCTCGCAATGTCTTCTTGGATAATGGCCGAACCCCTTAGCCTGGCATCAAATGCTTTCTGCAGGTTGCCTTTCTCTTTTTGCCTCTTGTCACTGTTCATTCTCCATTTATCCATCACTGCCATTTAGCAGGCCCTGGAGAACTATCACATTTTAGTACCTCTGCATGCCCTGGTCTGTGCTGTCCCTCTGCCTGTGGCTTCCCATTTTCCCTTGTTAAGACAATTTGGGTACCTTGTCTCTCCTCTAAAATACCACCCAGAGGCCTTGCCATCCATGTCCTGTCTGCTGTCTCTCTACCCCAGGGCCTAAACATATGTGCCACAAACTGTCACTCTGATTTTTTTTTTTTTTGTAACACAGATAGGAGTGTGGAAATAAAGAAAAAAGGATAAATTTTAATCTTCCCCCGCTCCCAGTAGTTCTCCACAGAAGCAACTCCTGCCACCACTTCCTTGTGAATTCTTCCCGAGTTACACAAGGAATGTATAACTTTATACTCAATATAGCTACGTATTCAGTGGGCACCATGTAGAAAATAAGGCAGAGTTAGGGAGTTGCCATGCTAAACCGAAAGGTCAGGACAGGCCTCGCTGAGAGGTGAAATCTGTGCTAAGACCCAAAGGAGGAAGAGAGCCACACGGGTCTGAGGCAGAAGGAACAGCAGGTGCAAATGCCCGGAGAAGCAGGTTGTGCCTGACCTGGTTGAGAACCGGAAAGTAGTGAAGCAGGAGGAGCTGCGATGAAAATCATTGAACTGGGCCAAATTGCAGCGGGGTTTATAAGCCACTCTAGGACTTCAGACTTGCATGAATGAGCAGGGAACACGCTAGTTATTGAGATGGGGAGGTGCAACACCTGACCAGCGGTCTTCGAAATTCACTTCCTCAGTGAAGAGCTGCCTTATCCCTCTTTGTTGTAGCTATCACATATCCGAAGGCTCCACAGTTTATCCGGGCCTCTCATATAAGGGACACTTGATCTGTTCCCTATCTTTTGGACGCAAAGTATTCCAACGTTCCCTTCTTTCCAAGAATCCCTGCTGACAATTTTGATTAAAAACCTGTAAGCCCACACAACTCGTCCCTTTAAACGTGATTTTCTTCTTTATTAAAGAAACTGGGTAACGTGCGATCTCCCTGGTTCCGGGTTCCTAGCTCACCTTCGCCACCCCCCACCAGCCTGAGGCCCTTTTTCCACTTTAAAAAGGGGCTTAGGTGAGCAAAAACGGGCTGGAGCGGGTGGGGGTGCTTCCCGCTTCACTTCAACGCGGGAGAGAGCACCCCGCCCAGGGGTCTGCGAAAGGACACGTCCTGGGGACGGACGGTGGAGACCCGACCCCTCAAGGAACAGAACATTTAAAGGCGGCGACACAGAAAGGGCGACCCACAGCAACCACGCAGCGTAGAGCGGAGTCGGTACAGCCGCGAACCCAGGAACGTCGCAAAGATCCGCGCTTGCGCAGTAGCTCCCGGCGCTGAGCCCGCGCGCTAGCCTTCCTTCCCACGACCTCCCCTCTGGCGCCTGCGTACTAGGACCTGCTTCCCGAAGGCCTGCGAAGCTGGGGCCCATAGATATAGACTTTCTTCCTGCTTGAGAAGGGAGCAGTTGGCTCGTACTTGAATCCATTCTCTCCCTCCCCCGTTTATTACGGCAACTATAAACGTCCTACCCCAACTCACTCTAGAAGGGAAGAACTCCGTCCCTGAGGATCTCTGGGCGCTGGGGGTGCCCAGGTAGCCAGGGATCAGCCGGCTATCACGTGGGGGGACTCTACCAATCGGCGCGCAGACCGCACTTTGCGGCTCGGCTTCAAACAAACTACGGTGAGGTGAGAGTGGCCTCTGGGGCCCCGCCCCCTCGCCTGGGTCTGGGGCCCCGCGAGACGGCGGGCGGGGGAGGGGGCGCCGGGAGCGGGGGCGGGGCGCAGTGGTCGAGTGACGGCCCGCATCACCTATTCCGGGCGTGGGCCGGGGCGCGGTGGGCCCCACAGCCAATGGGCGGGGGCGGGGGGCGGGGGGCGGCCCGGCCGGCGGGGAGGGGGAACTCGCGGCCGGGGGACGAGGGGGGAGGAGGGGGCGGGCTCCCAATCCGGTTCCATCCGGTTTTCCCACCGCCCCCGCGGCGGGTCGCAGCAGCTCGGGCGGCGGGAGGAGCGGTAGCGGCCAGGCAGCCCAGCTTCGCGAAGGCTCTCGGCGCGCCGCGGCCCGCAGGCACCCGGCACGCGCCCGCCCCGCCGCCACGATGCCCAAGAGGAAGGTGAGCGGCGGCCGCGGCCCGCACACGCACCGTCCGCCGCGCGGTGCGCCGCGGCCGCCCCGTGAGGCCTGAGTCCCGTCGCGCTGAGGGCGGCGCAGGGCCCGACAAGGCGCCGCGGGACCCGCAGCGGGCGGGCGGGCCGGGCGCGGCGTTCTGGAACGTTCGGCGGCCGAGGAGCCGGTTGGGAGATTCGAACGCGGCGGCGGGAAGCCGTGACGTCACGCGGCCGGGCATTGTTCGGGCGGGCGGGCGGGCACTTTTGTTTGCGGGCTGCGGCCACTCGCGCGTGTGCTTCCGTCCGCAGGTGAGCTCCGCCGAGGGCGCGGCGAAGGAGGAGGTAAGACCCCGCGCCGCCGCCGGGGGGAGGGTCCCGGGGGCGCTTCGCTCCTCACGCGTCGCTCTTTCTCCTTCTCTCCCCTAAAGCCTAAGAGGAGGTCGGCGCGGTTGTCCGCGGTAAGTAGCGCGAGCCCCGGAACCCCGTCCTCTCCGCGCGGTCGTGCCCGCGGGACGCTCAGCGCTGCCCTTGCCTTTCAGAAGCCCGCGCCTGCGAAAGTGGAAGCGAAGCCCAAGAAGGCGGCAGCAAAGGTAGGCTCCGCGCTCAGGGCACCGGGAGTGCGGGAAGTGCTGCGGGTCCGTCAGACCCCTGCGCGGGCCTTTTTCGCCTGGAGAGCCGCGTCCCGGCGACGCGGTTCGCGGCCAAGGTCTTGACCCCGAGGTCTCCGTCCGATGTCCTCCTCTCCTGAAACGTGCGAGGGTCTCCTGGTTTCCTGTTCGGATTCGGTCCCGCAGCTGCGCGGGACCGACTTCGGTGTGCGGGACAGCGTGTCTCGCGGCCGGAGCCGCCGGGGCTCGCGTGCGCGTCCGGGTGAGGGCGTCCCCGGGTGCGTGTGTCCTCGTGCTGGGTCTCCCGCCCGACCCCCGAGGCCGCGAACGCTGTGCGGGTTCTTGCGGATGGAGCTCCTCGGAGAGCGCACGGGGCAGTTATTGGGTCGGTCTGTTCTGTGACTGTGTGTAACAACAAAACAAAAACGCTATCCATCGTCTTATCTTAAAAACTCGGAGTTACCCCTAAACGCCGTTGGAGTTGTTTTCCTGGAACAGATCCACCATCGGCGCGGTTCACATCGAAGGTCTCTGACCTGAAGTTGTTCTTGCGTTCACGTGTAATGCTTGAAAACGTCCGTTGGGAAAGCAAACTGTGTGTCACGGTAATTCTGATGTGGGTGTAGCCCTGAAACCGTCCTCTGCAAACCTTTTTCTGCAGAGCAATCACGGTTTTCAGGGGGAAATTCGGGGTGTGATTAATTTCTGCGCACCTAAAACTTGAGTGAGTGTTTGGTGTTCGACCCCTTTTCTGAAAGTACAGGTAGAGCTTAGCACTGCATAATCAAAGGTTTTGTTTCCAGTTATTTTAAACATGCAGCAATGAATTTCGGAGTCTCAGAGGTTTTCATTTTTTTTTTTTAAGGAGAAAGTCTTTTTGTTGTTTTAACGTATTCAAAAGTATAGGGTAGTATGTTAATTTCTCACAACAAAAGATGAGTTAAGAGTTTACTTAACTTTTTAGAGTTAAGTAAAACAGGAACTTTTCATGGAGGCCCAAAAAATAGCAGATCTTGTTGCATAATGATGGAATGAACTATGTACTGTTCTTACCCATCTTTTTTTGGGTTTTTGTAATAAAACCATTGGATGAAGTACAGTGCCTGCTTCCCTCTTAAATCTTTCTTCCTTATTTACCACTTCCTATATTTTGATTTGCCCCAAAAACTTTCTCTAATGAAAATACTGAGATTTTATCCTCCGTTGGGTTTGGGATCGGTGTAATCGACAGATTTCTTTTTTCTGAGAGGCCAGCAGGTAAGTCTACATACCAGTGTTCCTTGAGGAGCAAATTTGTCAACTCAGTGTTGCCAAAGGAAAAGTGTGGAGTAGGGGGCTTTGTTTTACCTGAGTTTCTGTAGTACACCCTTCATAACCAACCTGATTTAAAGCCTTAATGGGAAGTAAATTTTTGATATTTATTGATTACGGTGTAGATGCACTGTATTCAAAGTGTATATATATACATACCACTATGAGATTATGACTTGTATAATTTCCTTAGAAGTATTTTGGGACTGAAATACACACATGTTGGGAAAACATGGATTTACTTTTTTTCATCTATCATTCCTGTTATTAAAAGTGGTATTACTTCACGTTGCATATTTTGTTTTCATATTTAAGGATTTACATTTTTATGCTGTCACTGTAGTGGTTAGAAAACTAATGAGAAATCTGAAGAAACCAGATTATAGAAGAACATCTACAGAGGTGATTGTGACATTTCATAGATAACCATTGTGTGAGGAGCGCTACCCAGATAATGTTTGTTTTCGTAATTTGTAGTTGTTATTCTGGCTCAGTAAAGCATGCAACCCTCGATCTCGGGGTTGTAAATTTGAGCTCACATTAGCCGTAGAGCTCACTAAAAAATAATAATTTATGATTCATTCTAAAGATGGTGTATTATTAGTAGCTGACATGTTGTCTTTGTATATGGAAAGCCATCATTGGTTCAGAATACATTATACTGTTCTCCACCCCACCCCCCCAACATTGAAGTGTGAGATATACCTGCATGTCTTTGTGGCTGTTTAACTCAAATATTGGTCAGTACTGATAAGGGTCTTTGATAGAACTTACTGGTGACCTGACTTCATTTAGCTGTGGCTGTATTCTTTATTTACAAGAAATAAATGTTAAATGTTTAAACTTCTTCACCATTGATGGATGGTATCCAAAAACACTCTTAACGTTGCTTAACCGTGGCTTAAGTTTTGGAAGTCTTTTATTATCATACTAATATGTGTGCTTTTCAGATTCTTCCAACATGTAAATGAAAAGTTTTAGCTCCTCGTTACCTGATATGAAGGGATTAGCTGTAGCAGGATAGTCGACCTGACCATTCCGCATGGTCTCGCTGTGAGGGTGAATGTCTTGTCAGGACAGTGATTATTTGACAATTTGATTATTATTCAGGCTTACGAGAACTTTGGGGACGGGTAGAGTTACAGTGGAAAGAGATTTCCTCCAGCTACTCTTCCCCTCATTGGTTCTGTCATGTGCAGCTTAAGAGACTAGTGGGTGATGGAGCAGGTGGGAGGAGGAGTGTGTCTCAGGCTTCAGGTTTACCCAAGGTAAGTCTAATGAGGCTTGATAATGTGAGTACTGTTACAGTTCTGGGTGTTATGCTGTCATCCTGACTAGTGGGGATGGACTTTCAGGTGTCTTCTGGAAAAGAGGTGTCCTGTGACTCAGGCCGCTCTGCAAGGTAGCGTTAACATGCCAGCTGTTGGGGACACTCCAGCAAGTGAGAAAACTGTAAGTGCTGAGTTTATGCCTAAAATATACTCTTACTGTATCCTAGGATAAATCTTCAGACAAAAAAGTGCAAACAAAGGGGAAGAGGGGAGCAAAGGGAAAACAGACTGAAGTGGCTAACCAAGAAACGAAAGAAGACTTACCTGCAGAAAACGGAGAAACTAAAAATGAGGAGGTCAGAAGTGTGTGTTATCGATTTGGACTCTGAACAGTAGATAATAAGTTACATATCTTTATAGAGCAGATTAAGACAGTCTTTGTTCATCAGAATACTAAAGCTTTGTACAGCAACTCCCAGGTGAATAGAGAGGTGGTTTTTATGAATTAGATCATATTTGGAAATGTATATGTTGATTGCTTCTTCTTTAAATGAGCAAGAAATTTTAATATGCTTAGAATTTCACCAGTAACAGATCGACTATGCATGTTTACACAGGATTCATTACTATAATTACTTGTGTGGATTTTTAAAAGGATTTAATTTGCTAAGTGATCTATTACTCCTTTTTCTTTGACTTAGAACCTTGGTACTTGTTTAAAGAAACGGGCTGTGTGTGTGTGTGTGTGACCTGTAGAACTGTTGTAATCTTGCTTTTCTGGATATTCAGAAATGTTTTGAATCCATTCCTTATTTGGTGGATTTTTCCCATTTCATCTTTTATAAGGAAGTCCAGTTTTCTTAAAAGTGGCTGTTTTAGGACTAAATAACAGACCAAGCAAATAAAAAGACTTGATGTCTTTAATCTTTTTATCCTTTTAAGTTGTGAAAAGAAGACACTTTTTCTTAAACAAGTAGGCTACAAGTTTTGATAAATAAGTTTTCTTAAGCCAGGCTCTTTTTTTTTTTTTTAATCTTATAATGGTTAAATCTGGAAAGAAACAATTTAGGATATTTTTAAAACTTTTGTATTTATAGATCAAATCTTAAAGCAACCAAGTACTTATTTCTAAGTTGTGGAGTTTAACCAGAATTTATTTTAAATTGGTAGTTCTAACCACATATCAAATATTATATGATACTAAGATGAGATTACTAATCTTAGTTATTAGGGTAGAATTTGACCTTCTAATACACATTCTCACACTCCTCCTGTTATTCATGGTGATTGTGTTCTGGAAGGTGTAAGTACTGAACAGTTGCACATGGAGGAAATAAAGGGTTAGATTTTTGTGGCACCCTGGTCACATTTCCACTGACCTATTGAGACCTAACCTTATTTTAGGTGTTTTCATTGACAGCACTGTAACTCATGCCTAAATGAAGCTCTGCAACACGTGTATTTTCTCCACTAGGAACACCACAGCTTTCTTGCACTTAGTAGACTGTATTATATTTGTCTAGTCAGCATCATTAAGAAGCACAAAAAAGATGTGAAATGTGTGGTACTAAAAAACTACAAAAAAGGCACAAGTTCAGGACTGAAACAGCCACCCCAGCTGGGAGTGTACATGTTGAGGTACTCAGGAAAAACGCTTTAAGTCCAAGGAAGTGCCAGGAGTATTGATTTTGGCGGTTACAAATAAATTTTAGTGAATAGGCAAATTTACAAATACAGATTCTACATAGAATGAGGATCACCGGTATTTTCAAGACCTAATAATACTACATAAGTAAGACTACGTTGTATTAAATGTTAAAGCTCTCAAAGTTAATAACAGTGACACAGAAATCAAGTATTTGATTATTTTTTTTTCTTTGATTTGCAGAGTCCAGCATCTGATGAAGCAGGAGAGAAAGAAGCCAAGTCTGATTAATATCACATACCATGTCTTATCAGTGGTCCCTGTCTCCCTTCTTGTACAATCCAGAGGAATATTTTTATCAACTATTTTGTAAATGCAAGTTTTTTAGTAGCTCTAGAAACATTTTTAAGAAGGAGGGAATCTCACCTCATCCCATTTTTTAAGTGTAAATGCTTTTTTTTTAAGAGGTGAAATCATTTGCTGGTTGTTTATTTTTTGGTACAACCAGAAAATAGTGGGATATTGAATGTGGGAGGCTTTGATTGTCTTGGGTGTCAGCTCAACATTCCATAGATGGGGTAGTTTTTATATCCTGTAATACCAAGCATACTAAATGGCAATTTGGAGTCAGTCGTGCATTTAATATGTCTTGAATATTTTAAATTACTCCTTTCCCCATGTTGTTTGGTAGAGTTGTTGCCTAAAGAAAACCACTCCTAGATCTTGGCTCTCCCTGTCAGAATTCTTGTGCACTCAGTCACATCTTGGTTGTGGTAGTCCAGTTTTCCTAGTAACTCTGTTAATGTGCTGTGCAAGATTGAAAATTTGAGTATGTAGTGTATATGATACTAAATTGTGAATTAATGGGACTTAACACTGTAACAGTGTATCAGCATTTGAATCTATTGGTACTTGATACACTGTTAAGGAAAAATTGTCTCCAAATTTTAAGCTGGAAGGTCACTGGAATAACTTTTAGAAAAGAATCACAACTACGTGATTTTTTAGATTTTTGGTACGTACGTTAGGAATTGTATACAAATTGAAATGTCTGTACTGATCCTCAGAACAACCAATAAAAATTCAGTTATGAAAAAATTTTGTGAAGCACATAGATCAAGTTCTGGCTTAAATTTCATTCAAAGAATAACCACATTTGTTTTCCCAGAGTTTTCTTAAAATTTGAAAGTGGAATATTCACTTTTTTTTTTAATACTTGAACAGTGTTACAAGTACTGAATAAGCCAAAACTACATCTAGTGTGGTTTGTGTTTACATATTCTTTTTGAGATTATCATACATACTGTACTTGCGTTTTGCCATCTAAATAGTCTTCAGAGGTGGTGGTGGACACCTGCACTGATAGGGCAAATGCAAACCCAGGGCCAGAGAAAGCACCAGGCCAAGCTTACCACTAAACAGGGAAAGACCTTGAAACTGTGTAAACCTCACTACACTTAAAAATGTTATTTTGCGCTGGAATGATTTGCGGGTGGGGGATAAGAATGCTCTAGAAACAGGAGTTCTGAGGTATCACAACTCTGCAAAGATGACCACAGGAATGGCCGCTTTGAGCAGACTTATGGAGGTGGTGACATGTGGCACCTCCAGTAAAACAGGATGTCAGTGGGAAAAGGATGCTGACTTGGGTTGAACTAATTCCCAAAGGTAGGCCATGGTTACCTCTAGGGAATGGGAAGAGGCTGGGAGCCATGTTTCCCAGTTCCTGATGGTTACACTGTGGAGGGCCTGGAACCATGATAAATACAGATTTGTCTATTAATTTTTAAGTACAGACAGCTTGGGGGTTTTGGATATGTTAATTGAAGCACTGAACTGCAAACCCCCCTGGTGTATGGATACTTTATACAGTTTTATTTTACCAGAATTTCTATAGCACCTCTTTTTCTATAGCACCTCTATAGCAGCTAAAAGGGGTACCTAAGAACCAATGGGAAGAAATCTATAGACTTTTAACCCTTTAACCTGGTTGTGTTCATCTGTACTACCCAACCCTCAGTACCCGAAGGAACGTCACTGTGATCATTGTTTACGGTCACAAGGTTTTCTCGATTGTTCTGAATTTATTGCTAGTAATAAAGAGATTTACTAGTTCTCTAAAAAATAGTATGACAAGATTGGTTTTGTTTTTCTTATACATACCTAAAAGATAGGGGGTTTTTTGTAGAAAATGGGAATGGAGGTCCTTGTAGGTCCTACTTGCCTTGAGCATTACTCTTAGAAAAAAGTGAACCCTCACCTAGATGTTTTCTTCAGCTATCAAAGGAAAACAGTTTTTAAGAGAATAAACCACCTGAGGTATATTTTTTTTCTTGATGTTCTAAGTAATCTCTGCACCCAACATGGGGCTCTCACAACCCCAAGATAAGAGTCGAATGCTCTACCAGCTGAGCCAGCACGCTTTTAGGCTCATTGCCTCTGAAAAATTAATCTCTCTAAACAGCGAGTTCGGAGCAATGAGAACTGAAGGATAAGAGTGCTTGAATGGGCATCAGACATCCTAAAAGGACAGGAAATAAAACTTTTTAATAATGATGTAAACAAATCGGACTCTAAAGTCTGTTAACTAGCAAAACCAGTAAATAAGAACTTTTCACTCCCTTGGCTTGTCAGAGGCTGGATTTGACCTTCCAAATGTGGGTTAATCAGAGAACTAATAGTCCTAGAACCTGGTGCCTAGTACCAAGATTCATGCGGAGCATGGAGGCCCCAGAGAAAACAGGCTTGTAGCCCTGTTTGGGAAGTGTGTGAGGAAATGCTTGTGGGCGCAGGGACAAGAATTAAGGAGACTGAGCTGGTACCGGGAAGAGAAATGCGTGTGTATGTATGTAATTGAAGTTCAGGACCAATTTATACTCACTGGGGAAAAAAACAGGAAACGCAAAGCCAGTAACAACCATAATTCATTTACTAGGCAGAGCCACCCAGGTGTCCCTAGAAGTAATTATTTTAGGTATGTTGAAATTTTCTTCAGGTGTGCTTAGGTGTTCTTTATTTGTAAAATGGTTTAGTATTTGCCTAATAATCTGTGTGGCTATGCCATAATTTGGCCATTACAGGCGGGTTGGGTCCCCCTCCGCCCTTAAGGATATACTCAGAAGCATCACTGTTTGAGTCAGCCAATCCCAATAGGCATCAAACCATTGCTACTCTTGGCCATCCATAGTATTTTTTTTTTTTAAAGATTCTATTTATTTATTTGACAGAGATCACAAGTAGGCAGAGAGGAAGGGAAGCAGGCTCTCTGCTGAGCAGACAGCCTGATACGGGACTCGCTCTCAGGACCCTGAGATCATGACCTGAGCTTAAGGCAGAGGTTTAACCCACTGAGCCACCCAGGTGTCCCATCCATAGTATTTTAAGTAAATAAGGCTGGATAGTTTTAAAAATACCATGTGTAAGTAGGAAAACAATACACAGGAAGCAAAAGTGTACATTAGTAAAAATTGTTCCCAAAAATGTTCATTCATTTACGAAGTTTTGCATATTTTGTCAGGGTTGGGTGGTGGATGCAGATGGCCTTGAACCAAGAAGCTGCTTTAAAAAAAAAAATCGTCTGACTAGTTCTGCCTTTAGAATCCATATTACTTTCCAGATGCTGACTTCACATTGATTTTTAAAAGTAGGTGTTTTGGGGCACCTGGGTGGCTCAGTGGGTTAAAGCCTCTGCCTTCGGCTCAGGTCATGATCCCGGGGTCTTGGGATCGAGCCCCGGATCAGGCTCTCTGCTCAGCGGGGAGCCTGCTTCCTCCTCTCTCTCTGCCTGCCTCTCTGCCTACTTGTGCTGTCTGTCAAATAAATAAATAAAAATCTTAAAAAAAAAAAAAAAAGTGTTTTGAAGTTTCCTGAGGGCTTAGAAGTGTAAAGTGATGTGATTGGAGCTGGGCACCGGGGGAGAAGGGGCCACACAGTACGGGACTGCAGGAGCTGCATGGTGCACTTGAAGACCCGAGTTAGGGGCAGTCGCAGCCCCTGTTCTTCCCTTCTTGGCGGATGAAGGTGACTCCACAACAAATGGGGCAAAAGATAGGTTGAATAGGGCTTATCTGAAGTGCTACTAAGGCCTTTCTCAGAGGATCCTGAGGAGTTAAAGCAGCATCTGGCCGCCAGCGCCCAAGAAACGTCTGTCTGATGCTCATCCTCCGTGATTTTCTCAGCTTGTGCTAATGAGATTCCTGGTGGACTTTTCCCCCCTTTACAACAACACAGGTTGTTCCGTAAAGCCTTGGAAAATACATTTGATTTTTTTTTTTTTTAAGATTTTATTTATTTGACAGAGATCACAAGTAGGCAGAGAGGCAGGCGGGGCTGGGGGCGGGGGTTGGGGGGGGAGGAGGATGGCGCTAGCAGGCTCCCCACTGAGCAGAGAGCCTGATGTGGGGCTCGATTCCAGGACCCCAGGACCACGACCTGAGCCAAAGGCAGAGGTTTTAACCCACTGAGCCACCTAGGCGCCCCGAAAATGCATTTGATTTAACTAAACTTTAAGTCGAGCCTTGAACGTGAGAGCTCCTCCTCCTACCGCCTGGCTGTGTTATCATCCTAGAACATGGCGGTATGTCTGTCCGTGTGTCCTTACATCCTTAACTGTAAGGGTTACTGCTGCAGTTCAAGTGGAATTCATAACTCAGATAGGTCAGTGTTAAATTTTACCTCTGAAAGCCCTTTATGTTAACCACAGAAAGTTCAAGTTGAAAAATGGATAAAGACTAATGATGAATTCAAGTTATGTATGAAAAAAATTCTGTACACGAATCTGTTATGCATGAGTCAAAGGACGTGTTGCAAGGTTTGCACGCTTGGATGTCTCTGTGTAAGGACGTGGCTGCGTATTCAAATGTGCAAGTTGATCGTTTCTCCTGGTGCTGATTTGGGTTTTTAAAAAAATATATTTTTAGGAGTCCTAACTGTTGTAGCATAACTTCTCAGTCTTGGCTTTACTTCTCCTTATCTCATTTATCATTGAAAGTAAAGTAAACGAAATACTAAATTCAGCAAATTTAATCGAGCTCATATGAGTCAAGTGGTCTCTCAGAAATCAGATTAATAGATCCTGGGTACTTGGCAAGGGAGCACACTGCTCTTCTGAATTTCTGGGACTCAGAATGGGTCTTGGTCAGGATCAAAAATGAGCATTTTTCTCTACAAAAGGAAAATAATAAGACTTGGCTGTAGGACATAAAAGAAGATCTGAATAAATGAGAAAACGGGGGTTCCTAAGAAGAGTCAACATTTAAGGATATTGATTCTTCTTATCTAAAAAAATGTAATGTAATTCTGATGAGAATCCTGGTAGAATTTTCATTAGGAATTGGAAAGCTGATTCTAAAGACCATGGGGGCCAGAAGGGGGGGGGGGCATGCTCTTGATCTTGGAGTTGTGAATTTGAGCCCCATGTTGGGTGCAGAAATTACTTAATAATAAAATCTAAAAAAAAAAAAAATTGAAAAGACCATCAGAAAGAGAAAATTGTAAAACTAGCTAAGAATTTTTTGATAAAAGAATGTAAGAGAAGCCTTGTCCTATCAGGTATCAAAAGTTCCTATAAAACTACAGTAAGAAAAATAGCATGAGTTTAGAACAGAAATAGACACAAAGATCAATGAAACAGATAAGGTGAAACAGATTTAACATGATAGAGTGGCATTTCAAATCAAATGGAAAACACCATTCAAACAAGAGTCTCAGTCTAATTAGCTATTCATTTAGGAAAATGTAAATTAGACCTCTACCTTGTACCATATATGGAGATAAATTCCAATAGATTTAAAAATCTAAATATAGAAAAACTCTAAGTACCAGAGGAAAGTGTAGGATAGTTGTATAATTACAAAGTAGACAGGCCTTCCTTTCTCTGCAAACTAAAAAAAATCCAGAACCCATAAAGGAAAAGGCTGAATGAATATTTGATCTCATAACATTTTTAGTTTTTATGTGATTTTATTTGAACAAATGCCTGAGAAATGTTAGTTTGGGAGAAAATATTTGCAATATATATAACAAAAACCATCCAAATCCTAATCAATATCCAACAGAAGAAAAAGCAAGTGGTATGAAAAAACAATTCAGAGGAACAAATTTTTGTAATATTTT